TAGTCTGATTTATTAATGACCCTTTTAACCCAATAGCTAGAAATTCAATTGAATCCCTTCAAAAAGATGTTAAGAAAAACCATACTCTGACAGTCCAATGTCAAATGAGAAGTACAGCCAGAGAGTCATTCATTAAAAATCGCGTAATTCAGCTCCAGTACATCCACGGGCTTGCTGGAAACCATGATTTTAGTATTGATATTCTCCCAAGTCCCACATTGCTACATATTTAGAATATTTTGTCCCAATATAGTCTGATTATTGCTAAGTGTGAAATCACTGCCAACTAGTTTCATGCAGGCTGGATTTCATTTTATAAATGGGTGAAGGATGAATACTACAAAAGGCCTTCTACTGCAAAATCCTTCAGTTCAAACTACAGCAAGCCACAAGCAGGCTTGGTACCCAGATTAATCTTAATGTAATTTTTATCTCCAAGAAAGCTCTCTTCAACATAAGTACAAAGCTCTGCTTCCAAAGCTGAGAGCCAGCAGGAACTATGCATTCTTGTGGCCTGTGAAAGAAAATGCCCTAGGCCTAGGCCCCCAAACTGAATGCTCTAATTGTGAACCTGAAATCCCTCTCTTATTACCCCCAGGTTCTTGATACTCCATTTTACAGCACTGACACCAGTACCACAGAGTACTTGTGTGCATTACTGCAGGGCCAGCTTCACAGAAAATGTAGCTGTAAGCTCCATGTAGATTATGAGCAGAGATGAGTACACATACCTCTTCTCTGCCTTGCTGATATGAGTAGGCCAAAACAGCTCTGCAGGAGTGCAAGCAGGAAAGAGACTTTTGCTGTGACAAGATCAGCTCTATGACTATGAGTAGGAAGAGAAATAGAAGCAACCACCTGACACAAATTTAGTGGGACAGCCAGTGGCTAACAAGGGCTTGCAAAAAGTGATTTTTCAGCTCAGCAACTGAACCAGAAAAAAAAGCATGTAAATATTTTATTTTATTTGGATTGACCCAAAGCTTTTGTTTTTAAATCTGTCATCCTTCTTTTGGGTTGTATTAGTGCCCCATCAGAGCCAAAATAGGATATTTTCTTTTTAAGGATTTGTGAGAAAAGCAAAATAAATTGAAGATTAGATTCAGCAAGGTGATAGAAGAGACTGTCACCAGTGTAAGAGTCACTCAGAAATGGTTGGCAAACCTACCTCAGATTTGGGCATTCCTCAAAAATTAATTAATAAGGGGGTAAAGATTAAAGCCCAGCTTCATGTTGAGTGTTTTGTACATTAGGTTAGAAAGCTGTGATCTCTCTGCACCCACAAACATACACATTCCCTTGGAGACACTGCAAAGGTATCCCACTTCTACATAACCCATTGTCTATTAGCCAAGGCCCAATTCTATGGGAGGGGGCACTGAAGAAAGGGGAAAAAGCCTTAGGCTGAAAATCCATTGGTGTGTAATCTGTCATGTACCAAAGATTTCCACCATGTACCACTCTCTCAGCCTGTTCTGCTGCACCACAAATTACACTGTCTATTGCCAGTAATAAGGTAGCTATAGCAAATCCTACCCTAGAGCAAGAGATGGCCTTCTCAGCATCCCTTCCAGCCATCCTTTTCAGCAACCTTGTGATCCTGACTGCTGAAGAAGTCTTGGGTGAAACAAACTCACTATTTACTACTTGCTTGTGCAGCCTAATAAGTTACCTAAGGGTGAAGGAAACGGGATAATGGCTAGCAGGGTAAATTACGTAAATGGGTTTTCCCCAGACACTCTAAATATTCTGATTGTCTTACCAGCAAATTATCTGGGGCCATAACAGAAGCTAACAAAATAACTACTGAATAAAGGGAAATGGCTAAAGGAATATAAAGTTCCTTTTTTTCAAGGAAGTTGAATCTTAAATGTTAACTGGACTGTGACATAGTGTATTAAAAACTCCCTGGCTTTTTTTTGTGCTTTGAAATACTCTGCAAAGTGCCAATTTTCCATGTTTACCCCAGGGTTATTTCTCCAATAGCAGTTCTCTCCCAGGCATTTGCTATCAGTATGGATGCTCATTGCAGTGACTCTGATCCTTTTTCCTGCCACAATGACAGTCTGTGGCATAGCTTTTTCTCCTGTTAGACTTCCTGAGGAAAGCCAACACTAATGCCAGGTTTGGAGACAATACTGTCCTTCCATGGACAGTAATATGAGGTTGCAAAGCAAACTTTGCTTTCAAACAGCCACAACAAAATAACAAACCCACCCCTTAATTTTCTACACTCTATTTTCCTAATTAGGTGGGTGGGGGAACAAATGTCCACATGCAGAAAGTAGGTGGGCATAGGCTGGATAAATCCCATGCTCCCAATTCTTGGCATGGAACAGCACAGCCATTATCCCTTCTAAATGTCAGGGAACTAGCTCCAACTCTATGAGGTGCCAGACACCTGCTCCCACTACTCCCAGCTTTGCCTTCTGCTGTTGCATCTCTCACTCACAGGCCTTGGTGTAATTCCACTCTGCACAAATTGAGCCATAAGTGCCAGGAAAGTGGGACTCTGAAAGCATTTCATAGAAAGGCACAGACCAGGGCAGCAACAGACCCACAAGGAGGGACACAGCTGCCATCTCCATGAAGAGGAGCCACTCAGCACCAAGACTGTACATTGATAAAAAGCCAGGAGAGGGTAAAAGCAAGATGCTTTCTTGCAGGCAGATGAAGTGAAACGGATTTGGGGATTTTTTTTTTACACAGCAAAAAGAGGTGGAAGAGCCACAAAGGGCCATTGAAAGAAGACAGTGAGCTTTCCTGTCTGACACATGTTGACACAGAAGCAATGGCAACACAACACAGCTGTCACATTGAAAATGCAGTTCTTCCAGCACAGACTGGGCTGTGGGGCAAATCCTGTGCAGTGAAGTGCTTGGATAGAGGGAAATCTGACTTAGTGTAAGGAGGCAGCAAGGTGGGCAGAGCCTGCCTCAGGAGGTCATCATTTCCTGCCTATGATCAGGGCTCCCTACCTGCTCCAATCTTAGCTGTTTAAGGTGGAAAGGGCCAGAAGATCCATGAGCAACCACGAAGTATAGTAGATGACAGAAACACAAAGAGTTGGGCAGAGATTAAAGAGGTGAGAATGCTTCTCAGCTTCCTCCTCTGGCTTTGCCCAGGGACTGTTGATCTTGGGCAAGTGACACCTAATAGACCATTCAGCAGCAACCCTAACACTCTTCCCATCCTCATTGTGTAGCAAAGCAGCCCAATGGCCAAAACAGGAGGCTGCTGCAGATCATTGCAACACTCCGACAGGGTCCAGCAAACGTATCTCTATTCTTTATAGAATGGAAGTGTTTAATGCCCCGGATGGCTGTCAGCCCACAGCCTTGTTGGAGAGGCAACGACAGCTCTGCCACAGGACAGCGCCATTCTCCCTGATTGGCATGCAATGTGTCATGGTGCTCACGCTGCTCCTGTCAGCTAAGCTGGTTTAGTCTGGAACCAGTCAGAGAGCACACATGCAAGTGTGCTACTCTTCTGGCACATCTGGGGAAGGCAGTGCCAACAGGCAGAGGCAGTATCTTTCCCACGGGAAGCTTGGAAGCAGTAAGGGACATATCCCACCACACCAGAAGCACAGCAAACATGGGTGGGAAGAAAAGGAACATGCCAGAGCCCAAGATGGTAATTCTTCTAGAGAATCGCCAGCATCCCCAGCTGGGTCAGACCGCTGTTTACAATATATATTTCAGCAACTGAAGGTATATATCTAGAATCCTTGGCAAATAAGAACATGCACCATTCCTGATGTACACCTGCCTGTTACACAAATTTATTGATATGTGCAGAGTTATTTGTCTTCTGACTGCTCTGCAGCATATCACAACCCATGTAGTAGAATAACTTCACCACTCTGATTAGCTTGCACATTTTTGGGCAAACCTTCAGGCTGCTGGCCATAGCACAGTAAATCACACAAGCCATTTAGCACCAAGAGACAGGCAAGAATAAGAGCCAGTACCTTGCCTTCAAGTTTCACAGCATACATCACAGTTGAGATGGCCGTGATACACACAGCATCACCACACAATTTCAAAAAGCTTCAACCCATACAGAGTAACACCATACCAATTCAGAAGGCTGCAAGCATCTGCCCCTCTTGCTCTTTAGCCCAGCCTTTTATCCCCTCATGTTCATGCAGTGCCCCTGTGTGCCCTCTGTTCCTGTGGTGACTGGTCAGTGCACTGGGCACTCCATGGCTCATTGCTGTCAGTGCTGTTCATTTGCTTCTCAGAGCTGTAGCCTGTTAGGGATGAGGCTCAGCTTCAGCCCCACTCCCAATAACCACAAACTGTGTACCTACATTCTAGCTCTTCCCTGACTTCACCATTTTCATGGAAATAGCAGAGCTGTTCAATTTTCATGACAGTAGCAATACTGTCACCGTGACATTCAGGTACTTCAAATAACCTGTTTAAAAAGCCTAATATACTACTGACACATATTTTAATGCATAGTTGCAGAAGCTGTAGCACCACCTGAAGATAAGTCATGCCTGTACTCAAATTGTGTATCACTCAAGAAAAGTGGGACACTTTTGAATGACATGACCCTTTCTGCTGCACCATGCTGTTCTGTAAGCTGTCCGCTAAAGACACCAAACAACACACCAAGCAAAGTACGAATCTTCTTGTGCCTACTGGGTGCTTTCTCTGGCAAAGATAAGCACTGCTCTCCCAATACAAACCATTTGTCAGCTTAATGCTTCCATGAATGTCAGACCAATTCTGCCCATGGGTGGACCTCAGAAAAGGTATCAGTTACACCAGGTTAATTCAGAGGAGTAGTATGTTGATTGGCATAGAAACAGAATAATAATATTTCCAGACTACGTTCCACCTCATTTCCAAACTCACGAGTCCCCCATATGTCGGCTTGAGTTGCAATGTTTCACCTATTGAATTTTCTGTGAAATTGGTAAGAATCAGTTTGATAGCTCTTATGTAGAAATTCTCTGTGAAAATCATTAACATTATTCAAGCCATACATTGCATGATAATAATTTTATTTGATATTACATAGCACCTAGCAATTCCCAACTAAGTTACAGAAGTTTAGGCAGTCTTCATATAAGGCAAAGATATTGTCCTTCAGGAGACAAGAGGCTAACAGATGGAGAGAGAGGATGAGAAAATGAGAAATTATGTAGATTTCAGTCACATTCTGAATCTTATTAAAGAACAAGTCACTTTATAATCGAAGGGTACTATTACTGTAGAGTTGGGTTTTCTTAAGGAAAGTCATTATTGGGAAAGCACATATTTTTTTTACAGAATTTCTTTCTCAAAGTGTTTCAAAATCTATTGCTAAGGACAAGTATCCTTCCGAAGTAAAAACCTCTGAAAATTACTATTGAGAAGATGAGCATCCAGCATATAAAATAACATAAGACAACAAGTAGCTGTATGTGGAAAGGAGGAAAAATTCTTGTCTAATCAGATGTCAGGAGGGCAAATTTTGATCTCAGATAACCAATCTGAAATGTTTGTTTACATGCTTACTAACCTGATGTCAATTGGTTAAATGAACTCAGAATCTGCCAGCCAAACTCACAGTATACTTAAAATCTTTTCACTTCTCTGATACAAGTTTCATTGTTGGGATCTATGTAGGTTTCCACTTCTGGAGTATTAACTTCTTTTCAGCCAGAAAAATCCATGGGATCTGTTGGTCTTGGAATCAGAAAGTGCCAGCTGTCTATTTCACCCAGTATGAATAAATGCAGATTTACTCTTCCAAAAATACTTATAAAGAATTGTGGTTTTCTTTTAAATCTCCACAGGCAATCTCCAGACTTATTTTCATTTTACACTTCCTGTAGATTAAAATCTGAAGAGTGTGTATGAAGATCACTAAAGATCATTCTCTAGAGAGAGAAAGGGAGAAAGTCAGAGTCTAGTTGGAGCTATTGAAAACATTGTCAGGTTATGTTTGCATTATGTGCTGTTTTGGAGAAGTGCCCAATTTCCGTTTTTATAGGAAGCATTAGCATGGTAAATTGTGCTATAAACTGATATCAGAGATAACACATGGTCCTTGGTTTGCTGCACAGCATCTAGAAAGAGAAAGGAAAGAAGAGGGAAGTAAAGGCATGGAGAAAGAAGAAAAAGAGTTGATAAATATTAAGGAAAGCAAAAGGAATTACTTCCTTCAATTTCAGGACAAAAGTAAGATGGAGATGAGAACATGCAAGTTCCATTAATATTGTTGATTTCTCTTTTCACATCTGCAAACCAGACCATGAAATTCAGCAGGTTTGTAGTTCTGTTTCCTTACTCCTAGTGCAAGCACAAAAGCACCTGCTCTTGCTATTGCAAGTGAAAAATAAATATATGACAGGAGGGAGGTGCAAAAGAAGTATAATCTGGATGGCTTTCTCTTCACTTAAATGCAACCTAATACTAAAAAATCTCAGCTTGCACTCATTGTCCCTGACAGAGAGACCCAACAAAGAAGCCACAAACCCTGACCTTATTAGTCATGCCAAATTAAGAACAAAAGGACATTTTGACGTAATTACTCTTGTTTGAAAGTGACCTTAAATTTAAATACAAAGCCAGAACAGCTCTGACCATTTTTTCCCCAAAATAATTTAAAAGTTTCCCATGCAAGATTTTGGCACTAAAGACCCACCCAGTGGAGGTAGCATAAATACCACAAAATACTGTGACTGGGATAAAAATCTCAAGAATATCTCAGACCACTGCAGAATTTAACAACAGATCCTTCAGGTCCCACACATGAAACATGGGATCTTCTTCTAAATCCTAATCATCACTCTGTTCACCTGTCTTTAGTGGCTAATGGAGCAGTACTGTGGTTTCCTTCCTCATTGTGGGAGCCTTCAGGTCTCTTTGTTCTCCAGACTGCTGTATCCATCCTGTGCAGCTGTAATGGAGAAAAGGCAGTTGATCTCTTGCATGCAAGAACATGCCCCATAGCTGCCAGTGACCCACAGCTGGTGACAATATAACCCAGCATGTCATACTGGTAGGCACAGCATGTCAGATCCTCCTTCACATTACAACAGTCACTGAACTGTTGTTCCACACTGAAAGAAGTCTGAGAACATACACTGGGCTGGCTTGAACCACAAGAGTAGCTGAAAACACAGGTTCACATTTAAACCAGCCCAAATACCATGATGTAACTAAAAAGGTGCACCACACAAATGTCATTGTAGGAACAATACTTGGAGGGACTCAGATTCACCTTATTATTTCACAAATCTCTCCTCTAAACCTTAAAAACACTCTGTCAGTGTTTAGAAATGTGGTTTTTTTTCACCTGTTTACTTAAAACTAATTTCACTGTTGCAAAGTCATTGTCTCTCTTCATTAGCAGGGTTTTCACAGAAAAAGCATTGTTCTGTTGTATGTATTTTAATAATGAACTTAACCAGCATGTACCAAATAATTTCCTTTTCAACTAGCAGTGCAACCATGCAAGTGCAACTCAGAGGATGCAGCAGCTATGAAAAATTGTTTAACTGTGACCTTAAGTAGCCTAGTTATGGCAGAAATCCTCTGCTATTACTCAATTACAATTTGTCTGTACAGTTGACTTTGTACTCTTTGTGAAGCCTTCCATTGCCAAAAAGCTGGTGGATAGCTTAAGAATGCAAAAATTACATTCAGATTTCAGAGCACCAAAAAAGTAAACAGGAGAAAATATCTTGAAAATATTCTTATGCAGCTTCCAGATGCTGCAACATGTATTTTTGAAAATATGGTATGGCATTTTCTTGTGTTATTTGAGAAAGTGTGCAATCATCCAGTTGTTTAGCTTATCATACAAGAAGTTGCCAGCAAATAACTGTTATCTCTCAACTATGAGATTTCTGTCCCTGGCTGACATTGCTGATTAAAGAGTTCCTGTGGTGAGTGAGTATGGAAAGGCAGCCATTTTAGCTGGTGGTATATTATTCCCCATTCATATTACTTTCTAAAAAGGCAGGTGTTGACACAAAGGACAAACAGCATAATAGCTGGAAAGGTAGAAGGAAGCATGAATTTGTAGGAAAACGTTACAATTCAACACCAATGCAAGACTGTTGGTGAGATGTTGCACTGAGGCTGGCAGGCAGCATTTAGTTTGATAGGTAAGATATTCTTACTTATGCAGCTGCCTGCCAGAAGCTGTAGAAGTCATCCTGACTAGAAAATTTCAGTTCCAGAAGCTCTTCTGTCCCAAATAATGTTTCATTTGTGAATCCTGGCAATTCCTGAAAGTGCTGGTCAGAGAGATACATGTAGCAGAGCATGGCTCTTACCTACTCAACAGCACTCTGGGGAGAGCCAAGATGTTCAAGAACACAGGACACCAGGATTTCTGCAAGGAGGTGCTGAACAGTTAGATGGAAATCTCACTGGGGGCAAAAACTCCTCTGGAACTACTGTCTGTGCAGCACACTGCGCTGTTGTCTTGACAGTAAATGGTTTAACAGAAAGAGACAACTCCAAATTCTACAACAAACACAGTTGGGGTTCATAATCTGAGCAGCCATGTCTGACCTTTTCCTTAGCTGTCAGGGAAGAATATATATTTTTTTTATACAGGCAAATCCCAGAAATAATTTATAGAAATTGAACAGGAGAGGCAGAGCACACAAAGTAAAAGTGTTAGCAGGTTCTTTTCTGAAAAAACATGTTGCTTCCTCCATAACCGATACCAAAGCAGCTTAGGGCACAATGCATCCCAATGAGAGAGCATGTGGCCTAATTTGGCACTTCTTCCACCAGCAGGAGCCTCTTCTGCAGGCTAGTCACAATCCAACTGAGGCTGGCATCCTTGCCTGCTTGAAGCTCGCATGCTGTGCCACATTATGAGTGGGAACCGGACCATCCTAACAGATTAGCATGAAAGCAGGCTTGCCAGAATACCAGTATGTGGATAATACTTAAGTGTTAAAGGGGGGATCTCTGTCCAAAAATGATGAAATTACAGTCTGTCTACAGCTTGCCCAGTTACAGTTAGGAAGTCTGTCACAGGGTATCACAGCTGAGCTTGGCACACCCCAAAGCCATTTCTACAGCCTATGTCAAAGAAGAAACTCTGTTTCAGGAATCAAGTTCTCTAGAGGACATGAGAAATCCCCAGAAAGAAACTGTAAGAGTCTCAGTAGACTGGTTGTTTTTCTTGCTGGAGTGTCTGGTTTTGAAAGGAAGCCAAATTACAAATTTCTTTTGATTTTTCAGGGTAATTTGTGTATCTGTGAGTTTCATGGTAAATTTTATAGTGAGAAACAAAGGTTAGGGTCAGACAATGATGAAGTCTATGCAGATACAAGAGGCCTCTCCCCACTTTTTTAGTGCCTTGTGAGATGAAAGCAGTTTTCTGTAGCCTGGGTCCATTAGCCCCCATTTGCTTCTTGAAGAAGTACTCTGGCAAAGTTAGCTTACATGCTGGCTGTGTCTCAGCAAGGAATTCAGGCTAGCTACCTTCAAAACTTGCAGAATATGAACCGAATTTTTGCAAGATATTTGTTGCACATAACGAAGAGCTATGGTGTGTAAAGCAGGCAAAAGTCATGCTTGCAAGATTAGCACAGCTCTCTTGGCATCCTGCTTTACCTTTCAAAACCAGGGGTTTTCCCACCTGTAGCTGGGAGAGTGACCCACCATTTAGGCTGGACAGGTGATTTACGCAAAAAGTATACTTCAGCATCCTTCACAAGATATTGTCACATGTGAATACTCTTTTCAGAAGTTCTTTGTAATAAAAGAGGGGGAAAAGCGCCTATATTTGCACAAACCGTGGATGAAGTGTTTGACATTTTCAAAGATGTGGGCTGAAACACAGAAATATTTTTAATCCCACATAAGATCTCAAGGAAATAATTACTGGGCCTCAGAGAAAATGTAAAGCAAAACTGCCAAAACTGTGTCAGTAGATTTCACTACAGTTTACTTATTTAAATTGAGAAAGAAAACAGAGTTCTGTGCAAGTTTGTACTCTTGCATCTCCTTTTAGATCTGTCTGTTTACATTTTACAGTGTTTTAGGAGTGACACAAAGGTGACAAGTTGCTGAATTCTAAATGTCCTTCAGTAGCTGGAACATGGCATTCCCGTGTCTCTTGATGAATCACATTACTTATTTGTCACATATGTTGTTCACACAAGGGAATGTATTCAATTAAGAAATTAATCCAGGTGGCAAGCCACGGACAGATGAATAGAAGTGACCAGAAGCAGGTTGGAGCAGATAGCGAGGAAGGGAGAAAGGACTGATCTATCTGTGCAGTCTCCAAATCCTCCTGATATCAAACACAAAGGCTTTAGAGAGTGAAAACAGTACATAGCAATGCAGAAACCACTCTCTGTCTTCTGCTGAGCAGAAACCTGGCTTGTTGGGACTGTGCTCCTCTCTTGGTGTTAGACCTCTCTCAACTGTGCTTTCACCCTTGACCTGTGGGCAGAGGAGGAGCAGCAGCTAGCATTTGGGTAGGCTGCTTAGCAGACATGTGAAGAACCTATGGATCCTTCATCCGGACCCACCACAAATCCTTTTTGGAAGGAATGAGAAAACTGAATGCATTGCCAGCACTATGCTGAGCTCTTGTTCTTTGGAGTCCAAACTTCAGCCAGACTGTGAAATAAGAGGATTTGGAATTGAAACAAGGAAAAACACAAATACAAAATATGGTTTCTACTCTATCATCTCATTTCACCATTGTCTTCAGAGGGCATGTGGACACCAGACAGGCCATTGCCAGATTTATTATTCTAACACAACATGCTTTCATCAGCATTTTTTTGAATGGAAAAGTAGTATTCTGCTATGATAGCCAAAAATTAGCCCTGTTTATCTCAGATAGCATGCCCAAACCCCTAATGCTTCAGAGCTAAGAAACAAGAATGTTGCCATTGTAAAGGATTAATGCAGTAGCTGCTGCTTCCATCCCAGTTTGTTCTTAGTGATTGCTCCAGCCACTGAGATCCAGATCCTGGTCCTGGTTTCAAAAATTTAAGCACCATAGGACAGCATAAACTGTCCCTATACATAAGTAATCTAGCCAAGAATCAGTTGATTTACTAGGCAGTGCAGAAAGTAAAGGAATCCTCATCCAGTACCTAGTGGCTGTGAACTCAGATGAAATTTGAAGTGATCAAACTCATTGAAGTTTTCCTGATTTCTGCTCTTTGACAGGAAACAAGTAACATTGTCACTTTTCTATTAAAGAAAGGCTTCAAGAGCTCTGAATGCTTTCTCTTGAGAAAAATTGGCTCATGCCAGCTCTTTGTCATGACTCCCACTGCCGACTGCCCAGCAGGGGTCATTTCTTCCACAAGATGGCTTCAGGCCACTCATCCCTCTGTGGTCTTCTGTATGCTGATCTATTCCGTATTGCTAGCTCAGAGATGGAAGCCTCTCCCAGACCTTCCATATCAGGAAGATCTTGAGCTTATTTCGGTTCTCTTACCTGCTTTCAGGCATGGCTGAGTGGCAGACTGCCCTGGAAATAGATTCTGTGCCTTTTACTAGAAGCGAATGGTTTTTCCTCTCTAAGGAGCTGACTTCGGGCTGTGCAGGCTTATTGAACTCCATCAAGTACAGCTGTTATTCACAGGGTAGAGAGGTGCATCTTGTGGCAGCCATGTGAGTGAAAGAGGGTTTGGTTCTGTTTGGGTTTTTTTCTTTAAATAAGGGAAATTTAATATTTCATTATTTGAGCCATGCTGCTTTCAAATCTGTCCTCTGAGAAACTGAGATCACTGAAGCCTAGAGACAAGGGAATTACAATTCTAGACTAATAAATTTTGGTCTGACCTAGAGCAGCTATGAATCACAAATAACCTCTCTTACTTCACTCATGTGAAGCTAACCACTGTGGTGTTTCAGACACTGAACGTTGTCCATGACCTCTTTCCCTGGAAGGACAGTTGG